TTCTTGCCTCCCTTTCCCAATTAGTTATTGAACCATAGTTCATTGCTATTAATTGTGGAGATTTTGGGGAAGTGACAGTTTGAAAAATATATTCCTTTCATCTTCCTGGACTTTTTTTAAACCTCCTTAGCTTTTCCTGATAACTACTTTAGAATGAAAAGCAGAGTCCCTTACCTAAGACTTCACTGTAAAACTAGTCCCAGAGCTGAGTGTCATGTTGTTGGAGCCAGAAGTCAGAGAAAATGGAAAGCATTAAATTTTGTACCCTTTGCAGAAAGGTCATTTTGTATGTTAGTCCTGCCATGTCAACAGGCACATAGGAAGGTGAGGATGGAATTTGCCCACAGTATTTCTCCATTGTGCCACCCATGGAATGCCTTAGTGTGTATACAGAAGGGTTTCCTAGACTCAGCAATCAGCTCTCCACAGGGCGTCATAGGGTCTATAATCATAACATTGTAGTTGGTGTCCTGGAGTTTCTTCAAGGTTGTCCAGTGGTAGACAGCACTCTCACAGACAAGTTTTAAATATCCACTCATTTGAAGAAAAAAAATCTTGCCGATTTTGCTGACTGACAAGGTGACAATGAAGGCATGACATTAACTGATAGGTCTAAAAAGTCATTTAGTCTATTTTCATTAGCCTTTCTGTCCTGTGGCGTGGGGAGAATCTTGAAGTTCATGGTGGGAAGGCTTGCTGTAGTCAATGATGAAATTTTGTGGAGACACCAACACAGTCACTTCGTGGCCTCTTTCCATGAGTTTCTCCAGAATAACCTTTAGATTGAGCCAGTGGCTCATGTCACAGGGCCACACCAAAACTTTCTCACAGAATCCACAGCCAGTATAGCAGAGCTACAGCAATAGAATTGCTGAAACCCACTTCTCAGATGCCATAACAGCAGCTTCCTCACACACTGCTCTGCAAAGGATGAATGTTTGCTGGGCCTAGAAGTGAACTGGCAATTTAGGCACAGATCATGTTAAAAATTAATTTCTGGAGTTCGGAAATGGCACTTACGTGCAGAGTACTTTGCCAGTTGTTAATTGGCACAATATTTATTCAGGAATAGATACGTAATATGTATATATTTTGGAGGAAATAATTTTGACATTCTAGGAGCTCACTTTAAGTAGATTAAAATAGAAAAATGATATTTTTAATTACAATTTTAAAGTATAAAAATTCATTTTAGTAAGTCTACTAAATAACGTGTTTTATCTTATGGGACATAATTAATAAATGTGGAAACATAAAAATATATGTTTCTCATAAGGTTGCTCATATGCTAACATGCAAATAAAGCACACACATCACCTAATATAAGAAAAATATACTAAATACTGTACAAAGGTACAGCCTTTCAGAGCCTCAGAAGATGCTGTCACTGCAATATGAAGAAAATCAGTCAAAACTTCAAAATGGAGGGGACATTTCAACTGAATCCAGAAGCAAAGATTACAGAAAAAGGGTTCTGAAAGTGAATAGAAGAAAAGGAGAAAAAGATGAATGATATGTAAGTTATGGTCATTTAAATATACAGATATCAGTTCCATATATATGGAGCAGAGGCTAACACAGAACTGTGCAGAAAAGGGAAATATTAGTTAAAATAGGACACTTTGGAAAGCCTTGGGTGCTATGTTCTGGGTCAAGTTTAATTGCCATAAAAAGATGTCCACTAAAATTTTCAAATGAGGTACAGAAAATGATCATATATATCCTTTAATAAAACTATTCTGGCAACAAACAGGGTTTGAGTTGTAAAGAATAATGAATATGTGATTTATTAAAATTAGATGGCTCGGACAATAAAGAATCTGCTTGCAATGCAAGAGACTTGGTTTCTACCCCTGGGTCAAGAAGATCCCCTGGAGAAAGGAATGGCTACCCACTCCAGTATTCTGGCCTAGAGAATTCCATGGATGGAGGAGCCTGGTGGGCTACAATCCATGGGATTGCAAAGTATCGGAAATGACTGTTCAACTAACACACTTTTCTTTCCTTTTTAAAAAATACATAAGAGGAAAGCAAGATTTGATGAGATTATCAGTAAGAATGTGCTCTGCTTAGTGGCTTAGTCATAACTAAGTAAGAATATAATATTGAAATATTGATTTGTGAATGGAGAGCAGAGATTGAGTCTTATGACTGATGGGAAATGAGAGGTGGCCAGGAGTTAACCAGGAAGTGCTTGGTTTTTACTTTAAGCAACCAGAGTGTGATAATGACTCTAGCAAATTCATGAAACACTAAAGGAGTAGCTAAAGGAAGAATTTTTGACCTGCAGTGTGTAAGTTAAAGACAGTACATGTCTGTGGATCTCAAAGGAAAAATGAATTTAGAAGTACTCATTTTATATTCAGTCACTCATGTGAATTTCAATTTAATTCCACTTCCTCTCCAAATTCTTTATATTCATACCTTTAACAAGCAATTTTTAGTACTTACTGTATACTAGATTCTGTATTATGCACAGGGCATGAAGAAACAAGTAAAATACAGTTCTAATTCAAAATGATCTCACAGACTATTGCACAAAATAAGTTAGCCAGTTAACCAGTACTTATTACTTATTCTACAAGCTTAAGGGAGAAGGATCAGAGAAGGTAGAGATGAACTGAGGAACTTCAAAGCCTATGAAGGGGATTCTTTGGTGGAGGAAGGGAATGATGGAGTTAGCTGTCTTTAAGTCTATTTACCAGGTGGAAAAGCACCACTCAAGTAAAAGGGAATATCAATGCATCTGTGTTCTAAGAAGTGTGGCATAGTTACACGAAGGGTTATATTCAGTTACAAAATTATATTCATTTTAATAATTTGGAAGAGACATACTGAAATTTCAAATCCCTTGAGAATTTTTTTTCCTGTTTCATTTGCTAAAATAAAAACACTGGGTCGGTTTGCTTAGAAGATGCCAAGACAAAACCTTGACCATGGATTAAGAGTTGTGTCCTGTTGCATAATTAGGGTTTACTTAAGTTCTAAATTAATTGGTTAAAAAAAAACAGAATAAAAAAAAATCACAAAACAAGAAGATGGGACAGAATCATGAATCCACTAAAAGAAAATTGAGATAACACTATAATCTTAGAAGAGGAAAGTATTTTTACATACAGTAAATAACCTAGAAGTGATTTGGAAAAAAAGACTGATAAATTTATCTAATCACTAGAACAAAGTTCACATGTTTTAAAGAGTTTCACGGAGAGATATAACACAGCTCAGAAATTGACCTCAACATACTTGTGTAAATTGGGAGAGAAATATTTCTAAGTTATTTTATTATATGAGAAAACTAAAGCAGAGCTCAGATTTTGAATAAGGATTCATTCACATAAATTTAAAAATATAGGAGGTGTATGTTCACTTATATCCAACTGAAACATTAAAAATCTGGATAAAATATAAAATTGCCTCATAAAAATTCATTTTTGATTTGGCAAGAAAATAAAAAATCAGAAGAATCACTAATCAAAGTCAGAGCAAGAATTGTGATGTTCATCCTTGCCATTTCTTTGTAGAACAAACAATATACAGCAAGAGTGGAGAGATCAAAAGTCTGAATTTTTGCCCAAGATCCCAGACCCTGCATATGTTCATGTAACACTAGAGTCTCAAGATAAGATCTCACTTTTACAAGTGAATCCCCTTATACAGAAGTTTAGAGCAAGGAAAATCGCTAGTGTTGACTTAGTGCTCTCTGGATGAAAGAACTCCTCCCTTAGAATTCTTAGCACTATAAGACTTGGTATGGGTTTACAGTTCACACTAGAAAAACCTCTTTGAAGAAACTTTGCCCCAAGCTTCAAAGTTTCCTATAGATAAAATTTCAAGGTAAACAAGCACCTCCCTGTTACAAGAAAAGAAACTTCAAGACTGAGAACCAGCAGAAGTAACAAAAATATTAACTCAACAATGTAAAGTAGTTTTATAGTTTGAAATGGAAAATAAATGAGATTTTATAATATGTTTAAGGATATGAAAGTGAAATCTGAAAATATGGGCAAAGAACCAGAAATTAAAAAGAATAATTGTGGAAATTTGCTAAAGAAATAGAGTGAATTTCTTTAAATTAAGAATTCAACAAATCAGATTTAAATGAATGGACAGATTGAAGAGTAGACTCTGGTGGCTGAGATGGTAAAGAATCTGCCTGCAATGCCAAGAGACATGGATTTGATCCCTGGGTCAGGAAGATCCCCTGGAGAATGGAATGCAACCCACTCCAATATTCTTGCCTGAAGAATTCCATGGACAGTGGAACCTGGTGGGCTACAGTCCATGGGGTCGCAAAGAGTTGGACACGACTGAAAAAATAACACTTTCATACAAATAAACGTTGAGTCAAAAGAGAGATCAAAAGATATTATGTGGAATTAAGTTCTGAATAAAAATATTGCAATAGGAAATATGATAGAACGGTGAAGATGCATGGAGAATAGCCTGAGACCTCTGAATCTGGTTGTTGGTTGTCTTCTCTGCTCCTCTTCTTAACAAGTCTTTTTTTCACTCTTTAAAACTAGTGGGGGGTTTTTTGCAACCAAGCTGTACAACTCAGCCCTATGTTTATGTTCTTTTATTCAAATCTACTTACATCAAATTTTTCAATTGTTGTTGTCCTTCCGTGGCTCAGATGTGTCCGACTCTTCGAGACCCCACAGACTGCAGCAGGTCAAGCTTCCCTGGACTTGGTGCTCGATAGGAGGCAGAGTGCTGCTGAGGTGATTGTCAAGCTGCATATGAGGGTTGGTCCTGTGGGTCCAGAGGAGGTCAACACCACTTTCACAGACAGGGGCTGTGCGGTCCATCTCCCAAGTGGTCAGCAGTGGGCTGGTGTTTTTTATGCCAAGATAGTTCTTGCACCAAAGTGCAGGCTTGCAAAGGTGGCCTCCTGCAGCTGTCACTGCACAAGAAGGTGCCTCTGCTCACATGGTCCTCTCTGCTGAAGAAACTTCTAGGGATCCAGGAGCTGGTGCCAGGTCTGAGGTGCCAGGAGAATGGGCAGGAGCCATCTCCCATTGTCTTGGAGCCAGGCCCTGAGCCCCCGGGCTAAACAGGAGGCCAGTGACCAGAAGCGGGCCCAGGACCGTGATGAGGTAGGTGCTGGACTGGTCTTGGAGCCCAAGCAGAGCCCAAGGCCAAGAGGGCTGTGTATCTCTGGAGAGGGAGGAGGTGGAAGGGGCCAGAGATGGCCCTGAACCTGGGGATGATGCCCTCCCCACCATTCCTGGCTGAGCCGGCCACCCAGGCTGAGACTGAAAACAGCTCTGTGTTCTACCACTGAATCAGCAGACCTGCATTCTGGACTCAGAGGAGAATCTAGCACTTTTGACAGGAAAGAAGGCAGCAGACACTGAGGAGTGACCCAGTATCTCCAACCATGGCCCGGAACAGAGACCCTAAGAAGGATGATTATTCCAAGGAGGAGATGGCAGTGGCCACAGATGCTACAGCCTTGGTGGATGAGCCGGAGTCCATGGTGAACCCGGGATTTATCCAGAACGACTCCTGTGAGAAAGGGCCGGACTCCCCAGTGGCCCTCGTGTACCTGAACGAAATCCGCAGAGACATCTCTGCAGGACTCTTCTGCAAGCAAAACTTGACACTTATTAGTCCATACACTAATTTGTAAAAAGCAGATTTGCAAACCAGAATATATATTCACATTATAAATTTGTCCCTTACTAGAATCAAGATGGCCACTAAATACATTTGCACAAAGAAAATACTAAACCTACATGATTTTACTAATAAACTTTAGCAGAAAATTCCAAGAATAAATCCTTAGATTTTAGGATGGGGAAAAAAAGAAATATTTCGTTAATCCCAAAGGCAATATTAACTTACCTAAAAAGGGGCTGAAGGAGAAACACATTCTAGGTCCATAATTACTTATGAATGCAAATATGTCTTTATCAAAATATGAGCAAAATGGATTCAATGATGAACAAGAATACTTAAAACATAGCCAAGAGGTGAGTTCAAGGTAGAAAGAAAGCTTAATAGAAAAATTTTCAATATTGAATCAGTTCAGTTCAATTCAGTCGCACAGTTCTGTCTGACTGCTAGTGACCTTGTGGACTGCCGCTCGCCAGGCTTCCCTGTCCATCACCAACTCCCAGAGTTTACTCAAACTCATGTCCATTGACTTGGTCATGTCCTCCAACCATCTCATCCTCTGTCATCCCCTTTCCTCCTGCCTTCAATCTTTCCCAGCATCAAGGTCAAAACAGAAAAAGAGACACAGATGTATAGAACAGACTTTTGGACTCTGTGGGAGAAGGCAAGGGTGGGATGTTTCAAGAGAACAGCATCGAAACATGTATATTATCTAGGGTGAAACAGATCACCAGCCCAGGTTGGATGCATGAGACAAGTGCTCGGACCTGGTGCACTGGGAAGAGCCAAAGGGATCGGGTTGAGAGGGAGGTGGGAGGGGGGATCGGGATGGGGAGCACATGTAAATCCATGCTAATTCATGTCAATGTATGACAAAAACCACTACAATATTGTAAAGTAATTAGCCTCCAACTAATAAAAATAAATGAAAAAAAAAAATGAGTCAGTTCTTCACTTCAGGTGGCCAAAGTATTGGAGTTTCAGCTTCAGTATCAGTCCTTCCAATGAATATTCAGGAATGATTTCTTTCAGGATTGACTGGTTTGATCTCCTTGTGGTCCAAGGGACTCTCAAGAGTCTTCAACACCACAGTTCCAAAGCATCAATTTTTCAGTGCTCAGCTTTCTTTGTAGTCCAACTCTCACATCCATACATGACTACTGGCAAAACCATAGCCTTGACTAGACGGACCTTTGTTGGCAAAATAATGTCTCTGCTTTTTAATATGTTGTCTAGGTTGGTCATAGTTTTTCTTTTGAGGAGCAAGCATCTTTTAATTTCATGGCTGCAGTCACCATCTGCAGTGATTTTGGAGCCCAAGTATATAAAGTCTGTCACTGTTTCCATTGTTTCCCCATATACTTGCCATGAAGTGATGGGACCAGATGTCATGATCTTAGTTTTCTAAATGTTGAGTTTTAAGCCAGTTTTTTCACTCTCCTCTCTCCCTTTCATCAAGAGGCTCTTCAGTTCCTCTTCACTTTCTGCCATAAGGGTGGTGCCAACTGCATATCTGAGGTTATTGATATTTCTCCCAACAATCTTGGTTCCAGCTTGTGCTTCATCCAGCCCAGCATTTTGCATGACATACTCTGCACATAAGTTAAATAAACAGGGTGGCAATAAACATCTTTGACATACTCCTTTCCCTATTTGGAACCAGTCCGTCTTTCCATGTCCAGTTCTAACTGTTGCTTCTTGATCTGTATACTGATTTCTCAGGAGGCAGGGAAGGCGGTCTGGTATCCCCCTTTCTTGAAGAATTTTCCACATTTTGTTGTGATCCACATAGTCAAAGGCTGTGGCATAGTCAATAAAGCAGAAGTAGATGTTTTTCTGGAACTCTCTTGCTTTTTCGATGACCTATCTGATGTAGGCAATTTGATCTCTGGTGCCTTTGCCTTTTCTAAAACCAGCTTGAACATCTGCAAGTTCACGGTTCACATATTGCTGAAGCCTGGCATGGAGAATTTTGAGCATGACTTTATGAGTGAAATGAGTGCAACTCTGTGATAGTTTGAGCATTCTTTGGCATTCATTTGACAAACCTAGACAGCATATTAAAAAGCAGAGATATCACTTTGCCAACAAAGGTCCATATAGTCAAAGCTAGTCATGTACAGATGTGAGAGTTCAACCATAAAGAAAACTGAGCACTGAAGAATTGATGCTTGCAAACTGTGGTGCTGAAGAGGGCTCTTGATAGTCCCTTAGACTGCAAGGAGATCAAACCAGTCAATCCTAAAGGTAATCAACCTTGAACGTTCATTGGAAGGACTGATCCTGAAGCTGAAGCTCCAATACTTCAGCAATGTGATGTAAGAAGCTGACTCTTTGGAAAAGACTCTAATCCTCGGAAAGATTGAGGGCAGGAGGAGAAGGGGACAGTAGAGGATAAGATGGCTGGATGGCATCATCAATTCAATGGACATGGGTTTGAACAAACTCTGGGAGATAGTGAAGGACAGGGAAGCCTGGCATGCTGCAGTTCATGGGGTCCCTAAGAATCAGACACCCCCGAGGGATTGAAGAACAACCACAATACACTACTAGCAGGTTAAAAGAAAGGAAGGTAAAATTTATTATTATTATTATTAACAACTTTTAAAAAGTGTTTGTCTAAGCCTTCAGTTTTCAACAAAATAATTTTCTTCAGAATTAGAGAAAGCAACTGCTTTGAACTAATATAAATGGTTATAAATTTAACCTCTTTTCAAGTGAAAAAGTTAAAATTATTCCCTTTAAAATCAAATATAAGAATACCCTAGAATTCACACTTCTAGTTAATGCATTTGTGTGTACATGCCAAGTCACTTCAGTATTGTCCGACTCTTTGTGACCCTATGGACCATGGTCTTAGCTATGTGTCTCTGTCCCTTGGATTCTCCAGGGAAAAATACTGGTTCAATTCAGTTAAGTTCAGTTGCTCAGTCATGTGCGACTCTTTACAACCCCACACTGCAGTAGGCCAGGCTTCACCATCCATCACCAACTCCCAGAGTTTGTTCAGACTCATGTCCATTGAGTCAATGATGCCCTCCAACCATCTCATCCGCTGTCACCCCCTTCTCTTACTTTCAATATTTCTCAGCATTGGGGTCTTTTCCAGTGAGTCAGTTTTTCCCATCAAGTGGCCAAAGAACTGGAGTTTCAACTTCAGCATCAGTCCTTCCTATGAGTATTCAGGACTGATTTTCTTTAGGATGGACAGTTTGGATCTCCTTGCAGTCCAAGGGACTCTCAAGAGTCTTCTCCATCATTACAGTTCAATAGCATCAATTCTTCAGCACACAGCTTTCTTTAGAGTCCAACTCTCACATCCAAACATCACTACTGGAAAAGCCATAGCTTTATCTATACGGACCTTTGTTGGCAAAGTAAACTTTGCTTTTTAATATGCTATCTAGTTTGGTCATAGCTTTTCTTCCAAGGGGCAAGCATCTTTTAATTTCATGGCTGCAGACACCAGCTGCAGTGATTTTGGAGCCCAAGAAAATCTTCACCAGGCCAAGTCTGTCACTGTTTCCATTGTTTCCTATCTATTTGCCATGAAGTGATGGGATTTGATGCCAAGATCTTCATTTTTTGAATGTTGAGTTTTAAGCCAGCTTTCTCATTCTCCTCTTTCACCTTCATCAGGAGACTCTTTGGTTCCTTTTTGCTTTCTGTCTTAAGGGTGGTGTCATCTGCATATCTGAGGTTATTGATATTTCTCCCAGCAATCTTGATTCCAGCTTGTTTTCACCAGCCAGGTATTTCACATGATGTACTCAGCATATAAGTTAAATAAGCAAGGTGACAATATACAGCCTTGATGTACTGCTTTCCAAATTTGGAACCAGTCCATTGTTCCATATCTGGTTCTAACTATTGCTTCTTGACCTGCATACAGATTTCTCAGGATGCTGTAAGGTAGTCTGATATTTCCATCTCTTGAAGAATTTTTCAGTTTTTTGTGATCCATATAGTCAAAGGCTTTAGTGTAGTAAATAAAGCAGAAGTAGGTGTTTTTCTGGAACTCTCTTGGTATTTCTATGATCCAATGATCATAAAAAAATACTGGAGTAGGTAGCCATTGGCTTTTCCAGTGGATCTTCGCAACCTGGGGTTGAACCCAGGCCTCCTGCATTACAGGTGGATTTTTTGCTGTCTGAGCTACCAGGGAAGCCTGAGCTATATTTCTGGACATGTAGTGTAGTTACTTTCTTATGACAAAATAACAAGGAACACATTATACATTCCTTGTTACCCTGTCACAACAAAAGTTCATCTAGTCAAAGCCATGGTTTTTCCAGTGGTCATATTTGAATGTGATAGTTGAACTATAAAGAAAGCTGAGGGCCAAAGAAATGATGCTTTTGAACAGTTGTATTGAAGAAGACTCTTGAGAATTACTTGAATTGCAAGGAAATCAAAACCAGTCCATCCTAAAGGAAATCAGTCCTGAATATTCTTTGGAAGGACTGATGCTGAAACTGAAGTTCCAATACTTTGGCCACCTGATGCGAAGAACAAACTCATTGGAAAAGACCCTGATGCTGAGAAAGATTAAAGGTGGGAAGAGAAGGGGGCAGCAGAGGATGAGATAGTTGGATGGCACCACCAATGCTATGGACATGAATTTGAGTAAGCTCTGGGAGTTAGTGATGGACAGGGAAGCCTGGCGTGCTGCAGTCCATGGGATCACAAAGAACCGGACATAACTGAGCAACGGAACTGAAATGAATTCTCAATATACGTGTGGGTTTATTTCTGGCCTGTCAATTCTGTCCCACTGATTTATGTGTCTATTTTTCAGTCAGTTCCATGCTGTCTTGATTACCATAGCTTTGTAGTACAGTTTGAAATCAGGGAGCATGGTACCTACAGTGTATTGTGTTCTTCATCTACAGATTTTCTGTTTGATTTTATTTTTTAGGATTTAAATCTTCGTGGTAAACTATTCTTTCTGTTAATTAACTCATTACTTTTATTGCTGAGATCAGTGAATTGCCTTTATGAGTTTTCTTGTAG